CATTTATTGCAAAATGTAACACGATTTTTGTTTGTGAGTTATAATTATCATTTTCTAATTGGTTCTATTATAAAAACAGAAAAAAAACTTTAATTGCAAAACTTTGCATTTATCGTCAGGTCAACGAAAAGTAGAAATTTGCGTACCAGTATGGAAACGTATAAGGTTTCGCGTTTCTCTTTATTTAAAGACAAAATGGAGCGTAGTATTTGAAAAATTCGACAAATTGATGACAAAGAACCTATTTTAGGAATGTGAAGGTATACGAGATTATGTAAATAGCATTATGTAGCTATGTAAATAGGCCGATATGTAATTACCACTGTGACGACCACAATAGTTTCAGGAGTATGGCTACTCTTTTCTACGTACTTACTGCTCAAATAAGCAAAAACCAATACAGTGAAATCAAAAACATTTTTTTTTAAAATTTGTAACATAGTTTTATTGTTATTATTATTATAAACAAGAGGAACCGTATTATATTCGTATTATACATGTTATTTTTAATGGTTTCTATGTCCCAGCAGTGCGATACTCAAATGCCTCTAAAATTTATTTTATCCCAGTAACTACCCTGTTAAATCAATACACTGTAACACCAAAAACAACAATGACCTCTGTGATCGAATGTCGCCATCTCTGAGGTCCCTGGTTCGATACCCGGCCGGGTCAGTGTAGAAAACTAACTTTTCTATATTGTCTCGGGTTTGTGGTACCGTCGTTGTTTCCGATTTCCATAACACAAGTGCTTTAGCTAATTACTTTGGGATCAGAGCAACGTATGTGATGTTCATGTTGTCTTAAAACAGCATTTTGGGAAAAGGTTGTAGAAATGATTTATCTTTTTTTTATTTGTACATTAGATATTAAGGAATTCAATGTAGTCATTATAATTTTGCTTTACAAAATAACCTATTTCTATTGAAAAACGAATACTTTACTTTTCCTTGTTAACAGCCAAAAGATCTTGTTATAATGAGACTTACAACAGTGTTTTGTTTCGACACGCTAGAGTACCTAGTATAATATCCCAGCAATTTTAAATATGCACAAACCCAATGCGTTGTATGTATTATTTATATTACACACCCTATAAAGAAAGATGCCTATGTTATCATCATACCGTTCATTTCCCCTAAGGTGTCATACGATAGGTAAATAAAAAATAAAAATAAGCAGAACTACTTGTAGTTCCATTAGTCACAGCTAAGAAGATATCGGTAATCGGATTCCTAAGAAACTGTGGAATATCGCACACGCGTCTGTCGAAATCCACGTGTAAAAATACTAGGTGGATATTGTTACATAAAACACGTCTAAGGTTTTATATATTACAAACAGTATGACGTAAAACACAATAATGTATACAATGTAGGCGCAATCGATCTGAGATAACGAATTGCGCTTTTTGTTTAAACTACTATGAAAGTAAGGTTCATGTGTATAAGTGTTCATGCAAAATATAATAATAACGCACACTCATCGCACTCCTTATTTTTCTGTATCTAATATCCAATTGGAGATTAGATACAGAAAACTACAAAATGTGGGTTATGTTTTTCTGTATCTAATGGCGCAATAAACATGTTTGACGTAATTCCACTTATGGCATTCTTCCATGAGAGGTGCGTCATATCCCCGCACTAGGGAAACCCTGTATCGCGGGTGCCATGGACACACACATAGACAACCACAAATTACACTCAAACTCACGAGAGAAATAAAGGTAGGCCATTCAAATATTCCTCCCGGTCCTGGAATCGAACCCGGGACCTCTGCGTGGCAGTCCAGCATGGGATTCGTTCGGCAATGGAGGCAGTTAAAGATATAGGCTCAACATGTTCCCAATGGAATAAAAAAATATTATTATTAATGCAAACATAAAGAATAAAATGCTTGTATCCGATTGAAGTCGAAGGAAGTTTGTCGCCTCAACATGTTGTTGTGGAAGTTTGTCGCAACAACAGAGCTACAGAATAGTAAGCATCTTACAGATTTCACTGTGTGCTTGTTGCGGATCTTTGTATATCTTTGTTGTATATAAAGTTTAAATTTTTTTTTTACCGGTTCGGGTCCAAACAGGTTGAATAAATTTTTCTTTTTGTTCTTTTCGTTCTGTGTATCAGTATTAGTTATAATCTAGTGAAGTGTGTTCACAAAAAATCAATGAATGTAATTATAGAAAAAATCATGACATTAAATAAAAATAATTATCGAAAAAAATATCTTAAAAAATATTGGAAGCAATGAAATCTCATCAATCAATTTTTTTTTTTCAATTAACAAAATTTTAAATTGCTAAATTTGGACCTGCTACGAAACGAACCCGTGTTCTTATTTAGCACCCACGCATCAAAAAATTATTACGATCATTCCGTCTACCAAGTATAGTGATTAGAATATCAAGTTCTCAATTTTTTTTAAAGTCATACCTGCAAGCTCGCTACTCAAAAGAAGTTGTGAGCCTTTTGTTTATATACTTTACCTATCTCTGCCGCCAAGCAGTAATGTGATCATTACTGCGTTCCGGTTTTGAAGGTTGCTGGTGAAATTACAGGCATATGGGACTTGTCAACTTATGTATCAAGGTGATGGGCAGTGCCCCTCAAATCTTTGCGATGTAAAGCTCGGAGTAGCACAGCAACTGCTACTGACAGGCGTGTCGCTTACCACCAGGTCCAAGTTCGTTCGTCCCGTTACTTGGTATACATTCAATAGAAAAGATCTAGAAACATATCTAGAGTCGTTTAAAAAAGTTTCAAAACCACACGGGCTCCAAATCTTGTAATGGCAATAAGACATTTCCTATAGAGTTTGAAAAATCGTGAGTATTCAAAATAATTCATTTAATTGTTGTGTTAGCTAGTAAGCATGGTGTATAATTACTATTGTTGTGTATGCATAATGGTGGCTTTCCTACGCAATAAGCGTGTAAATAAATAACATCAAACTACTGTCATAACTATCCTCTTCATTCCTTTATTCTTTTTAGTCACCGCTTGATCTTAAAAAAACGTGTGACAATAAACGCGGGAAACATTACAACTGCCCACCCCTAATAGTCTAAGTGCCCACCACCCGTCTTATTATGTCAGATTGTAACAAATGCAAGGTCAAAACATTAACTAAAATTTACGATGTAAATATTTATGTTGTCGCTAACGACTCTTAGTAGATATGTTACTACTAGTTACGACTTTTTACATTATACAAATAAGGTCACTGTAAACCTCAGCAACCGATTTGCTCTCTCCTTATAAACAATAGAAAAGATTAAATTATGATAACAATGTTCATATTTCTAAACCACTGGCCACATATACCAGAACGTTTAATTTGAAAAAAGAATGAATTCAATCGTGATTCTGAATCGTGATGATCTTTTGATTTTGATTAAACATTCTGGTATTGTGGCCAGTATTTCATGTAACCGTTGCTGTTGTTATCATAAGTAAACCTTTTTCAGCTTTCCTCTAAATATCTCCATGAGTATATAACCTCTCCTGGCACATTGGGAAATTTGAGTTGTAGCCCGCAACAAACATGTTCTACTAATGGGTTATATTCAACAATGTTCGATTTGTAAAGTTGAGCTATATTGTTCGTCTTAGTTATGACAAAAATTGTCAGCTAAGGAAAGGTGCTCATAAACACAATAATATATTTACAAGCGTTTCAAGTTTGAAACTGAATTTTCGTTTTCGCTTCGTTCAATTGTATATCAAAATTCCTACTCATGTATTACATACAGAAGCTGCTTGTTAAAAATGATAACCACCTTGAACTTATGTTTTTTATCAAGCGGCGAAAGTATCTACCACAACATGATTGATGCAGATTGTTCAGATTGGTGCACAAAGGCTTATTGATCAGTGTTATGTCGTTAGTGAGTGTCGTCACATGTTTTCGCATATCGGATGCTGATTGTCTTGAATGCTTTTATTAATCACGGCATGTCGTACGTCGCCTCGCGAATTGTTCAGCTTGTGATTTTTTCAATATGAAATATTATAGATTTTTCAGTGTAAAATCTTTCCTTAACATGTTTTTGACTTGCCTGTCCACTGTTCTAGGTAAGTTCATGATAAAACAGATTCAAATTTAAAAAAACTGCTGGTCAAAAACATTTAAAAAAGAATAATATATAAAAAAGATATGCGATCTTTCTTCCTTCATTTTGTCATTTGAAATAATTTTGATTTAAGTGAACATTTTTCGCACATTTTTCCAATACCGTGCCTACTCAAATAAATGGATGGTGGTTATCATATCCAGTATCACTCTACCTGTTTTAATTGTTACAACAAAAGCGTTTATTAAAGACACCGAACTTTTCTAAATACGTTTTGTAAATACTCTGAATACTTTACAGTACCAGTGTTTGATTCAAATGAATGACTTTATTAAGAAATTGATAGAAATATGTTTTGCTTTAAATTATAAGAAGTAATAAAGATTTTTTCTGTAATCTAATCAACCTTCTTTATTCGTGAAATACATAATAATACGATAAGTATATAAATAATGCAAGATTCAATCTTGTTTTTAAAAAAATCGACAAATCTTATTAAGATAGGATGTCGTCAACGCACTTTTCTACTCTCGTATTACTTTGAGAAACTCTAAAACAATTTAATTTCATAGTACTGTGTGTATATATTAGTTTCTTATACGGGACTGTGTCATAATGGATTAAATTTTAATAAATCGAACGCCCCGATACCGTGTTACGCATGACTCGTTGGGTACCTATTTCATTACCATTAATTTCTCAATTTGGTAGTTCAAAGCTCGATATAGGCCTCTCCCATGGGCGCCATTGGGCCCGGTCTTCAACTTATCGCATCCATAAATATTCAATTGAAGAAATAATTGGCTTAGGTTACCACCTTAAAAAAATGCAATTCATCGAGTGTAAGTTACATCTGTGTATATAGGGCAATTATTTTATGGCATTCTTGGTTTCTGAAAATAGTCGTTCCTCTTTTTCGCTTCAGCGCTGCAGAAGCAGACTTGCAAGCCGGCACTATTCCGACGAGTTTGGTCGGCCACACGCCGGACGCTAAATCTTGAACACTCGCCACACACGCAATTCGCATGTTGCCAGTGGCAGCAGAATCACAGACCTGCTACCGCTTATCTTGTCTACAGGTATGTACTCACCTACACTTTAAACAAAATATTCTTTTTTTATTAATGATTATCTACCACAAATGAACTCAACGATCGAAAATTGTTTTATGTAACACAGAATGAAACTCACAATTCATCCAACAGAACAACTTACCTTCGTATTTTACGTGATTGAGTTCGCAGTTAATCCGGAGTTTTCAAAGAATCTCTCTTACTGTGTCTGTACATATGTTACGTGGCAATTTCCATCAGTTCTTGGAAGTTTGTTGTTTTAGATGGCTTTTGTTTATCGGCGTGTTGTCGGTGGGCATCGCGAGTTTCGTAACCCAACAACTCCCGATCAACTACGATGGCCCGATGAAACTTAACTACTTCAAATGGTTTATCTACTTCACCAACTGGGGATATTTATTCATCGCCCTGCAATCTGGACTTGCGCTTGCTGTAGTGCATCGGTACCGAGCTGAGAAAAATTTCAACATTTGTAAGTAATATTTCATTTAATAAAATTAGTAATTTATCATTTACGTTCAAATTAACTCGAGGTATCATACTTATTTGTCGTAATTGATTTGTTATTTACGTACGATGGATGTATATGTTTTTGACGGTCTAATTTAGTACTCCTCTAATATGCTAAGTGAAATTATGTATTAGTACTACAACACCACAGTGGAACTGATTTATTTACAAACTATTCATCATTTACGTCCTTATTAACTCAAGGCGTCATATTTATTTTTCGTAATTGATTTGTTATTGAAGTACAATGGGTATATTTAGTTATTTCCGGTTTAATTTTGTATTTGTAGAATACGCTAAGTGAAATTTTATCCGTACACTAGAACACGACAGTGGGACTAATTTATTTACAAACTATTTATCATTTACGTTTATATTAACTCGAGGCGTCATACCAATTTTTCATGATTGATTTGTTATTTATGTATGACGTGGTGTATATAGTTTTACCGGTTTAATACAGTACTCATATAATATGCTAAGTGAAATTTTATCCGTGTACTAGAACACTACAGCGGGACTAATTTATTTACAAGTGCGTTGTTATTTCGCAAGGGTAATAATTTTGATGTCTAGTAAAAACGCCTTGTCTGATCCAGTATTCATCGTAGCATTTATATGCTTATGCATTAATATCGTCATTACACCTTTCAAGAAGATGTGCCGAAGCCAAAGGATATATATGTACTAATAGATACGCTAATATATAACTATAGTTGGTGACATCCATTGTATTTCGTAAATGAACTAATATATGTACAGTCGTTACCACATTTTAACAATGTCAAGATCCTCGCGTGGGTCTGGCTATTAATGTCGAGTAAATTATTACTGATGCGAATCAATTAATTAACTACGCGGTCGCGTGTTGTCGCAAATGACAGTTTTATATTGCACATCATTCCTCCTATGAGCTTCTCTAGTTCTGTTCATTAAATGATATAAAAAAAAACTGTCCATTTATTGGTAAATTATATGGCCACAAAGAAGTTGAATCAATTTGCGAAACCACTTGCGACTGATCGATATTCGTAGCGTATAACATCATTAATATCCATTTCAGTATTTAGTTTGTATACAGAGCACTGGTGTTTTATGCCTGACTAGAGCGAAGCCAGAAGGATTATTATATTTTTAACATGAATGTATGAACGCAGCAAAACATTTCAAATGATTAAGGCAAATTGGATGCTATAGAGATTTATTTCTCTGCAATTATCTGAGTAATCAAAGGCAACTCATTAAAAAAGACTTATCTTGAGTTTGGAAGTCTCATAAGATACATGACGTCAGCAAAATATCAACAAACAAAATTAGTAAACCAACAAGTAAGAACACTTAGGATATCTCAGATCACACCCACATTGAGCATTAAGCCAGCTGGTACAGCCGACTGACATATATACAATTTCGCGTCAATTAAGACCACAGGATGGGCCGTTCTCTATTGTGCTACCAATTATCCTTATTGGTTCCTCATTCCGACTTTGACGTTGCCTACCGGCTCGTGCTCAATTATTACCAATAACTCAATTGACATTGGGACTATTAAGGTTTTTTTTTATATACAAGTCATCGTAAATGATTATTTTTGATTCATGATAACGTCTTCTTGTTGATTCTAATGGTTGGCCAAAAAGTTTTTATTGTTTTTGCCACTAGCTGACATTAAAAACAACTTTTTTATTCTGTACAATCTATGGTCACCCTAAAAATAATACTTTAGCATTTTTTTAAAGTCAATGAGGAAGTTAAGTTCATGAAACAAAAGTTAAGTTTATGAAACACGCCCAAGACTGGAGAATCGTGAAGGTGTCGTACATCATCGTGATAATGCCAAAATCACACTCATCTTTTGGAAACTGTCAAAAACAATTGCATTTAGGAAATGAAACAATTTTTCCGGATTTAAATCGCGTATATTTGTTTTTTCAAACAAACCGACGTTTCGGGCCCTTTACAGGTCCCATGGTCTGTTTGAAAAAACAAATATACGTGATTTAATTCGGAAAAATAGTTTCATTTCCTATGTGTTACAATCGCGAAAACCTAAGAACTCGATATTGCATTTAGGTTGGGTTGTGTTACCTCTTTCATCGTATTCGCCGCACATAGCCTCTTCAGATTTTCACTTGTTTCGGTCTTTATAAAATTCTACAAATGGATACAATTTTGATAACGCAGAGACAATCAAACGACACTTACAGCTGTATTTATAAGTAGACACTAGAATGTTTAAGAAAGGGGATTTCTAAATTTACCCGAAAGAAGGTAAAATATTGTAAATCAAAGTATTTTTTTATGTTTTGAATTATACGCTTTGAAACCGCTATTTTTCGCCAATAGCCAATACATTTTACTATTTTCTAATAACTATTAGGAAATATTTATTAAGTATATCTACAGTTATTTAATTCGTGGAAGAAAAACTCAAACGACTATGTATTAAGGTTAGAACATAATAAATTACGCAATAGAATACACAAAATTTTAGAAAATAAGAGAAAGTTGCGTTACATAAAACAAATTATAGGAAATTTTATAAAAACCAGAAAACTTCACCATATAGTTTGTTATAATTATTAATACAAAGATCGAACACTCAGAAAATATTCCTTCGATCCGGTCGGATTCGTACCGACGTCTTCTTGCATACCGTGTCAGACGCTATACCAACTAGGCCACGGAACGAACCAACTAGTCATTTCACAAAAAATAATTGAATATCAATTCAATAAAAATTTAATTTACCATATAGTTTAACCAACTGTTAGGGCGAGTGACATTATCAATCGATACATCTATTATCAAAGCATTAGACGCACAAAAACTCACAAAAAAAAGTATATCAGATAATTTAATTAGCAAATTAATTTTCTAGAGCAGTAAAATTCGTAAATTAAATACCAATTAAGCTCCTGGGTCAGACAAAATCAAAGTTTCTGATATAAAAACTATTGAGCAGGAGATATCTACATACGGCTAAGGCTAATATGAGTAATTGTAGACTTAAATATGGATTACGTATCCTAATTAATTCTTTAGGATACGTAATCCTAATTTTTTTCAACTCTCTATTTAAAACGGCAATTTCATAGGTAAGCACCCTAATAATAATAAGGTTTATTTACCCGTAAGAAGTTTTGTATTGTATTGTGTAAGTGTATAAGTTATGTATTGTCGATGTGGACAAAGTACAGCATTGACTCATTAATAATAATAAAAAAATAGATATCGAAGTTAAATAATACATAAAGTTAAATACTGGTTAAGGCGCAATTTATAAAACCTTAATTTGTACAGCTGGTGAAGACGACGAGAACCCGATCCCGAAACGAAAGCGCACGCCGCTTCTGTGCCGCGCCTACTGGTTGACGCACATCATTGCTACAGACCTCTCCTTTGTCATCACGCTTATTTACTGGATCCTCGTCTATGACCCCAGTAAGTGAAATGACCTTGGGATAGAAAAATAAAAGTATTAATAGCACGTGTGTGAATGTCTGAAGTCTTGATGTCGTCCCTTGACAATTTCTTCTATTGTTTTTGTTAACCAACTTCAAAAAAGGAGAATGTTCTCAGTTCGACTGCATGTTCTTTTTTGCGTAACATACACAATGTTACGCGATTACTCCGGCATTTGTGAACCGATTTCGATGATTCTTTTTCGTTGGAAAGAGAGTACCTCAGTATTGGTCCCATTTAAATTTGAAGAAAATATTCCACCTCTAAGAGTGGCAAACTAGGGGATGAATCCGATTTCAATAAAACTTAGCAAATAGATGTAATTCCACGAACTTTTGAGTTCGGTTTATAAGAACTTATAATTATTTCTTATAATGATATTACCTACAAGCAAGATAATGATAGAACTAATATAATATCTACTGTTAATATTCTAGAAATACACGCAGTAAGTACACTAAACCTGCTAGTGCACGGCGGCAACTCGTTAATAATGCTGATCGAGCTCGCAGTGACCGCGCATCCTTTACGCGCCGCGCATGCTCTGTACGGCGCAAGCGCAGGGCTGGCTTACGGTATCTTCAGCGCCTTCTATTGGGCTGTGGGAGGTACTGATCGTATCGGGAGCACAGCCATTTACCCGGCGTTAGATTGGAACAAACCTGGTAAGAACTGTAGAAAAAAAGAAAATACATTAAAAAATATATAATATAAAAATTTATATATAAAGCAAAACACAAACAAAGCAAAAATTAAAACTCAGATTATTTACATAAACAAGAACACTATGATGCCAGCTGCTGTAACAAAAGGCTCACTAAGCATTTTTGCTGGAATACGCAATGCGTTTGAGGACTGATTTTCAGTACCCAATGTAAGGTCACAGAATATCAAATAATGTAATATAAGTAAGAAAATGCGTATCGATTACAAATATACGTACATCAAGCGATTAATATATTCACAAAAGTTATTGTTTTATATTTATATAATTAATATACGTAACATACAAGGTACTTTGTAAAATACTAACAACCTCACAATAATACAGTACATATTACTAAAATCATAAAGAATAACTTTTGTCCATGACTTTTTACAGAACATAATAAATTTAACAAAAATAAACTTTTTAATTTTTATTGTACACTCAAAAGCACATCAAGCGTGACACTTTACTTTGACCTGTTCTTATCGCATTGAGTTGGATTTCACTCTTTAAATGTAAAGCTAGACGTGCTCTTGACCCTGTACTAACTATCTGACACTTTTTAGAGCTGTATTTTACCCTCTAATCTAAAATCTATTTAAATCTAGATAAGTAAAATCTGATGAGTTAATAGGGGTTAAAGTATGAAATTGCCGATTTGTACTGAAAATCTAA